CTACACCCGCAACCTAAATACTCCTGCGGTAGTTTTCAGCCACAAGCCTTGCAACACGTTTATCCCTAATATATATTCAGGAATTGAGGATACATAGACTTTGTATTCCTCAGGCACCATCCTATGACCAAGGTTACAGTGATTGCCTTCGCTTTTACATTCTGGCCTCCACCATGGCTGTCAATGTACAAGGGTGGGCCGGCGAACCAGTCAGGGTTCCTGTACATTGGAGGAGGACCAATGTATGGCAACTTCCACATGGAGCCCCCAAGCCCCACCTGTCCCTTCAAGATGGGTGCCTTGGCCTTGGGCCTATTCAAAGGAAAAGAGAGCCTCTGCTGACCCTTTCATTTCAGCCATATAATCCTCCAGTCACACATCTCTGGTCTGTACAGGGCCCTTTTAGGTGTGTCCTGCCTGTTTCGTGAACCTTTGTTCCTCCTATAGCTGCTGCCACAGTTACAGTAGCTGGGCACTTGGCTGTCTGTCTGTCTTTTCTTGATTGACTCTGGCTGCCAGGAGGTCCATCCACATTTGGGCATGGGTGACCTTTATTGTCTTGGTCCCCTTAGGTGCACCACATTTTTGTTGGGCAGGTGCATGTACCCGCTTTACACTCTGACAGTTCTCTGTTTCTCCTAGGCTGGCAGCCATTGTAGTTACCTCATCAGCTGGGCGCCCAACATACAGGGACTCAATATGGCCATTAAGGAACCAAATGATGCTGAGCGGGCATTCTGCAGTATTAAGTCTTGCATGCCTCCTGTAAAGTGCTCCTCATCAGGGCCATGTGTATTTAAGTTGAAAATTATCTGCCTCATATACCTAGCTCCCGGAGTACTTGCACTAATTCTGTATATGACTGCCATTTGCTCATTATGCCTGGCAGATTGCTTATATCCTCCCACACTATTCTCATAGTGGCTATGATCCAGTCCGTTAAGGTTACTGCCACGCCGAGCGTGGCAGGTACTGTTTTGCAAGCACTGGCACAGGGAGGGGTTCACTATTACTGATGCCAACTTCTCCATTTCACATCTGGTACACACTACGCCATCCACCCCTCCGTCCCGTAATTGTAGCAACCAGGCAGGCAGCAGCTTAGCGGAATGCTGCCTGAACTGCTTTCCCAGGTCCTTTAATTCTGCCCGGGTATAGGGATAATATGTAGTAAATTCCGTCATTTGGGCAGGGCCAGCGGATTGTCCTCCTGCTGCCATGGGTTGCTGGGATTTCATTTTCTTAGTAACTGCCTGGAAGACAAGCCTTCCTGAACCTTCCACCTCCTCTTCCCCAGAGGAGCCAGTATTGGCCCTATTTTCTTCCAGGACAGGCTTTGTCACCTGTAATGCCTCCTTTTGCTGCTGCAATGATGCAGCTTCCTCTTCATGATCCCGAAGCTGTGCAGTTAGTGTCAGTTCCTTCTCAGTCTCAGCATGCAGGGTGGTTAGGAAAACCCAACCCACAGCCCCAGCTGCTGCTAGGGCACTTTTCTAAAGACTTCTCCACCACATGCAGGGCTCTTTCCACTGCCGCTGGGGTACCGTCCATCCCTGGCCATTCCTGGGGAGGCGCCCAAGCAGTAACACCTCCACCACCAAATACCACATGCTTGTGAGGGGCTCACAGGGGACAGTGGGTTCCTCTGGGGATTCCATACCTTTCTGCAACGAATTCTGCAGACTATGCCAGTTGTACTGCAGGCGTTCGATGCCTGGAAGATTCACTCTAGATTGGGGCAGACAGAAGAAGAATGATGGAGCCAGGGGTACTTGAGACATACCTTTTATTCACACAGCATCTTGCAGGACACTGCTGCTGCTGCTTCCGCGGCTGCTTAAGAAAGTTCCCTTTTCTTTTTATAGCCTAAGTACACAATGGTGGCACAGTACCCAAGTGTGTGTCACATAAGATTGCATCATTCTAATATAGCGGCAATGTTACATTACTATGACTTAGCATATTTGCAGCGGAAGCGGGGTGGGAGACCTGATACTACTACTCGCCTATTGAGGGTCCTTACCTGACAGATGATTATAAAATTTTTGATTTTTTTTTTCTTACAATTATAGTTTTATTCCAACAAAAAAGATACAAATGAAGAGATGTGCAGGTTTGCACCTAGGAGGGTTCCCAATGTGGAGCTTCCAGTCCCTAAAAGAAATGTGTTCCTTCCCACCCGCCATGTGAATCAATGTTCTTCACCAACCAGGAAGCCAATGGAACTTCCATGTCCAGAGATCTATTATATAATTCAAACTCCAACCCCTTTCCCCTGGGGTCAGTTGATATCAGTAGGTGATCATACCCCCTCCCCCTCCAACCCAAGAATCGCCATATTAGCCTAACCTGTTAGGTTAGATGGGCTCTGGATCCCTCATCTTTAATATTCTTTTTTTATTACCTTTCAATTTCCTGTGTGTTGGGATTATTAATTTTATAAGAAGTTCCTTTGCAGAACATTATTTAACATAAACAATTATAATTACAGTGGTCAATGTTTGGGGTGTGGAAAAACCCTCGAGTCTATTTACCTGAGTCCAGAAGAGTATGAACTTCTCAAGGAAAATGTCATGAGCAATGTGATAGATGGAGGTGACCAATACAAAAAGACAACGCCTGAGGTGAGTCTGAAACAGGTTTTATTGAATCACTTGGCTACAGCAGGTTTCAATAAACCTTTTTTGTAAAAAAATATAAAATGTAAATAGTAAATATATTAGGCTTTGTGGACCATATAATTTCTATTGAACCTCTGCTGTTGTAGCAAAAACAGCCTAAACAATATACATAAATGAATGGGTGTGACTTTGTTCCTTTAAACTTTATTTATAAAAACGAGCAGCCAGGCCATTCTTTGCCAAGCTTTAGAAAAGTGCTTTGCTTTAGCATTTCATAGAATGATTGGGTTAGACTGTCATCCATATGTTGAGTCACTAGTCCGTGTACATCAATCCTCCTACATCTGGGCAAAAATATACTTAAACTGAAAAATAGATGCTTATTCTAAGTGCTTCCAGAAAACTGTGCTCAGTAAACTTCCATAAAAACATTCTGGTATCTCACAACTTTTGTAATCATGGGAGTTTAGGGTAACTTGACAAAATTATGTTTGCTCAGTACTGAATTTGAATGTTTTAGGTCATTTATAGTAGCTTTGTTTTGCTAATATTCAATACTATATGCTGGCTTGCTGAGAGTAGGTAAAGAGGTAGAATGCTTCTAGTTGGTTGTCCTTGGGGAAAGGTTGTCCATGATCTTTATGAATTTTTTTCCAAGATACTAGATAAAAATGAGAAGGGAAAATTGTTCTACTCTTTCATTTTCACTTAAAAGTTTCAGAAAACCCCTTACATTTTATGAAGACATCTGACTTCAGAATAAAGTCAAACTCTGGTCTATAAAAACAATGCTCCCATTTCATAGAATACCTTTGAACTGGTTTTATTGATAAAATGACAGTTAACACTTAAGACTTAACACAGGAACTTCATCACAGTCTTATAGCTGTGGTTTCTGGGTTATGTCATCTTGTGTATTAATGGTCAGTTGTTATTTGCTCTTTTTGGTTCTCTGTTCAAAGGACTCCCTTTAGCATCTGTGATGAAGTTCCTGTGGGCTCAGAAGGTAGGTGGGAGTGGAGGATGGCCGCATCTCCGTT